CAATCCAATTTTCATAATATTTGATACCTTCAAAAGTGTAAACCTACATTTATTCAAACGAGTTCTTGAACCACCATGATTAAACTATGGGAACGGTATGTATGTTTATGGAGTAAAAATAGGTTTTAACCATTTTTCACTCCCAAAACATAAAATTTTGCAATTCCTTTGTAATTTATTTTAAAGAGCTTAAAATGATTAAGTATATTATTAATGAGGCGTTATTGTACCCATGCCCAATGGTTAGTATGAGAATATAACAAAAATGTAAATTAAAAATTCCTATGTTATTTTTATGGGGAATGAGTAACCTATTGTAGTTTGCTTGTTTATGAACATATTTTGATCAAATTTGGAAAATTCATTTATTTCATTCAAAACTATTACCTACCATTTTACTAAAAAACCACTTTATTACATTTCCGTGGCATCAAACATAGTTGAAGGGAAATTCCTTAAGTCTTCACGTTTGCTGCAGCAGGGGTACTAAATTAGCACTTTGGACAGAAAAATTTTCCATTTAAATTATATCAAAAAGCTTGGTTTAAAAACGACCCACAATTTGGTGGCAAACTTTAACAAACAATTTAGGGGTACCCACATTGTAAATAGGAGGATGTATCTAGACCTCCCCACATGGATAAAAGTACAAATTTGGTGGGATTCTGCGACACGAACTTTGGAAGGGAGAGGATGGGCACAGGGAGGCATGTATCATAAAAATGTATTACTTACACAAATTTGGTATTTTTTTATATTATCAAACACATTCTTTACACTTGGAGGAGAAAGTACTATCAACACAGGTACTCAGTAGTTGTAAATCTATCGGAAGAATGCATTGAAAAGAATGCATCAGGTAGGTAATCTGAACTGGACTTCAGTATTGTCTATTGTACATTTATTATCTGGAGGCATAATTTAATTTGAAGCCACAGTAGGTTCTTCACCCACTGAAAGCATCTGTACTGCTCTTTGATGCTATGGAAAACATATCACATAATAATATAAGTCCAAAATAAAAGAAAAGTCAAAAGCTTTTTGCAATTATCAGTGTTTATCTACAAAAATTCAAAACATGAAGCAATAAAAAACATTTATTTCAGGAGAGGTTATTGGCTGAAGATATAAGATCAAGTAGCAAGGTCACACATTCAAAACAGGAAATCATTTTGTGATATACATTTAGACACAATATAGTACCGTACCGTATCATTCTTTTAAGTAAACTTTCTGTAGAAAAAAATAAACATTACCGATGTACTAATTGCTAAATATCTTGAGCGATAAAACAATAATTTACCCACAAATCATCATAGACAAAAAGAATTAAATATAGACATCAGCTGTGCTGCGGTTACCATAGCTTCTGGCGCACACCGTGTATTTACGGCATACGCGCTACGTAAACTACAGCGGTGTGCGCCAGAACCTATGGTAACCGCAGCACGGCTGACAGTCTATATTTAATTCTTTTTGTCTATGATATTATATACCAAAAGGTTTGTCCAGGTGTGTAGATTAGCAAATTGACCTTACATTATTGAAGTTATCCTTATGAAGAACATATTTGTTTACATTATGATCAGCTGGATAATTTTTGCTGTTAATATTTTAGTTGCAATTTAAGGAAACGTGTGCTACAAACATTTATTTACTGACTTGGTTGAAATTAACTACTTGAATTTGGGTTGATGTAAATATTACAGTGGAAAAAGCAAGAAAGCCTGGACATTTGATATACTAATAAGAAAACTGAATTAACACTGTGCTGCATTTCTTGAGCAATCATTGAAAGATCCGATTTGCAAACTATGGAAACGTAGAAAAAGTCATAGTACATAGGACACCAGACACAGGAACACCACCAAGTAGAAGAAATAGAAATAATGTTTTTTTTTTATTTAGTTTAGAATCATTATTATGGACAGCCTTTTGCGGCTATGAGTGGAAAACCTTTGTAGAAAACACTAAAAAAAAGATCAGCTCTTGCAAAATGATCAGATATTTACAAGAAATTTTAAATATATTGAACTGTTATGTACATCGTGAGTACATAACCCTTAATCCTTGAGTAGACTCTTTTAAAGTCATCGGAAATTATGAATGTTATTCTTTTTAAAATAATGCCTGTAATACTTCGCAATCGCTCAAATTCGAGCAACAGGTACAGTAGTGGTAATTTATTTTAGGGCGTCAAACCCTCTTTGTATCTAGAGGGCAGGTTAAGTGCTGGTAATTAACATGCTTTTTAACAGTTTTAAATACAAATTGTTCATAATAATAAATAATAAATGAAGACAGCAGTCTTCCTGCAATGTAGGTGGTTAGTTCTGTCTAATAACATTAGGAAGTGGGTAACTACTTTCATCTCAGTAATTAGATTTTGTAAGAAAATTGCAGTGTTGTTATTAAAGCAATTTACCATATATAAAACTAGTAAAAATGTTATTTAAGTAAGGAAAAGACTTTCTTGTAATTTAAATTATATCCTTCATAGTGTGTCAGTTTATAAACTTGACCCCTCATCCTCTATAATCATATAAACAAGTCATGGACTACAGCTCCTGATGCAAAGAAATGTTTTTCTTTCATCAGTAACTCTTCACACAACTTCCCTCCCTCCATCACAAGAGTCTGGTTGATTACCAAGACCTTCGATACATCTCAATGGTGTTCCATCCACGGGTAAACTTGTCATGTAAATGGGTATTATCTTATATTTAAAAGAATACCAAACTTATATCCCATATTTGATGACAAATATGCTTTTAATGATTCATTATTCACATAAAAATGATAAATTTTGGAGAACTCAATGTGTTAAACTGCAAGCTTATTATTATTCCATTTGATTATTTTGTAAAGGTCTTATGTAACTTAAACCTAAGTGATAATGCCGCATCCTAGCCTTAATTAATATGAAAAAATATCCCAACCTAGAGCGTCCTTCAATGTGTATGTGCTATAGTAATAGTTTCACAGCTACCATTGATTTTAGAAACAAAATACAATTGTAAAGTTTTTTCTATAATTTTGAATACCAAAAGATATGCTCGTTGACATGTTTGTTCCGTAAAAATTACCTTTTTGAGAAAACACTTTTATTGGCAAATAATACAAGACGTGTACCTAAAAGTCCAACTTTCGTCATACTGCAGAATTACCAGCTGTTTTCATTACATCCGTTGTGGGTCTTAAGTAGCCCTTTTACTCCCTTGGAATAAAAATCAGCTGGAGTTCATGATATCAGCGGTACATTTTTTGCTCTCCAGAGAAGGAAATTTTTTCCCGGGTATTGAAACATTAATGTAATATTATAGAAATATTAATATCAAAAGGTATTCAAACCATGTATAATAAATACAATTTTACATTTAAATCAATAAAAACTCTTACTTTACATATTCAAAATAAATATGGCAGACAAAAACAACAACACTATAGATGATGTACGGAACTACACTCTGGAAATCCACCTTACATGCCGGGCTTCGTACTACGGGACACTTCAGGCTTAAACTGATTAATAGGGGTTGTGCGGGGGAGGTGTGACAACAAAATAATGTACAACTAGTGTGCATGTTGCTCGAATTCGAGCAATTGCAAAGTATTACAGGAGTTATTTCAAAACGAATAGCATTCATATTTAAGCGTCAACTCAACGATTACCGGTGTGTAACTCAGACCATGTTTATCTTCGTTATTGATAAACCTAAAGCATTCCGGTCGGTTTTCTCATTCTCAAAATGCCTCACTGTACAGGCAACACAGGTAATTGATAGAGGGCCATTTGAGAATGAAAGGTCGTTTTGGGGTAGTAATAGGGCGCATTTGTAAACTAATAGTTGAGATTGTCCAGGGTTAGATGCTGACTGTGATGAGTTAAGCCTATTACGCGCCACTGTTCTGTAGCTGCGGTCGTTATCACGATTACGCCTCCTGTCTATGTTTTGTTGTCGTCACGTCAAAAGCATTTAAAAGAGAAAAAACAACAAATAAACAAATTATAGCTACACAAAACGACGATAAATGAAAAAATTTAAGTTACAATCATGCTAACACGATCCGTCATAGCGACACAAAACAACGATAAATACACAAATTTAAGATACAACCATATTAACACGATCCGTCTTGGGTGTTATGTTTACACAAACTCAAATAGTAAATAAATGTACTCAATGCGTTTGAATTGAAAAATGAATAACAGCAATTAAATTATACAGCTGATCAAAATGTAAACAATTATGTTCTTCATAAGGATAACATGGGAACTTTCAAAGCCACTGGGGCAGAGCCCAAGGGACTTTTTCAAAAATGTAAGGCCAGTTTGCAAATCTGCGCGACACGCTCTTTCCAATGAGACGTCAATGGATAAAATCGGTTAAGAAATGGCGGAGGAGTTCAACCGACAAAGATTAATGTAGCGTATTAATTATATAGATCAGTTCAAAAAAGAGGCATGTGAGGTACCGGTACTGCTACTCCTAAAAATGCCGACTAGCGATAACACATACTTTTCTATAAAAACAAATGCGCTTGGAGGAAAACTTCATGGTGTCACCTATGTAGGGTTACAAGGATACGTTGCAAAACCAAATTTACACATTCTTACATTTAGGAGCATTATGTGCTCAGTTTTGGTTTGTTGGTGGTGGGGACATTATGAAATTAATTTTAATTTTTCCCCATACCCTCTTAAAAGTGTTGAAAAAGTTGTTTTAATTTTTGTTTAAAGAAAGTTATTCTTGAGATAAAGTCATGTGATACATTATAAAACAAATGGGTAAACGATTCCATTCAAACATTTACTTTACCTCTGTTTACCAATCAAAGAACATAAAGTGAGGTAGGTATTAAAGGTCAAACAAAACTATAGTCATTGATGATAAACACAAATAATATAGAAAGATTTTGTGAAGGAAGGGTGTGACCTTCTGTGTAAGAGGTCACTATATCACACCACGGTGACTATGAGCAAGCGAGTGATAACTTACATCAACCACTGCTCACTGATAACCACATATATGTAAGTGGTGCCGGCCGCTCTCTCGTCACTCCGCCACTGTCTGTTGTGAAGCTCAGGTGACAACCATACAACCACACAGCCATACAGCCATACAGCCATACAGCCATACAGCCATACAGCCATGCCTGCTGACGTGCTTCAGGAGATACCTCCCTCTGCTATCAACTACTTCTGCAACAACGTTCTTAAGAGGGACTGGCCCAACTCCATACATGTAAGCATTAAATCAAATAATAGAAACGTACACACATACAATAAAATACATAGGGTCCTAGAGGTACATAGGTAGTAAAATGGTATATTTCATTACTAGGCTCGATAACATTACTACTATTGAGCCCCGGAATGCAACTTTTGTGACAAGTATTGTTAGTGAGTGAACAATACTATTCATCACAAATAACCACACAAAGTTTCTTGGTTTAGTAAAATATTATTCCATAGTCAAGTAATTTTCTTAAACGTATTCATAGCATAGTTTAAAAATTTGTGTAAAAGTCAGAGATTTGAACAATATTCCTCTCAATAAAGGAATATATAACATTAGTGATCCTATTGAGCTAAACGAGAACTTCCTTTTTTGGCACAGAAAAAGTTTGTTTAGGACAGGCAAAATAATATATTTTGTTAGATTGGAAATCATTGATATTTTGAAAGCTTAGCTGCTTGGAAATGAGCTATTTTTATATTCAGAGTGATGAAGAATAGTAAAAAAAATAAAACAAAAAAAATCTGTAATTATATTCAATGCATAGATTTTAGTTCCGAGACATTGAAGGGGTTTACTGAAAGTTCTAAAAGGGGTTCTGAAGTTCTTTGTTATCGGTTCAGTGTACAGTACATGTTCACTTACAACAATATTTAATACAATTTTTGTCATACTGTAGCAAAAATCGCCGTTTTTAATACATGCGTTATGGATCTTAAGTATTTTTTTTATTCCCTAGGGAGTAAAAAGAATTTTAGTCCCTAGGGAGTAGTCAGTTATTGTAAACTCAATTCTAAACTTTGATTGTAAGCAATGGCATGTTTTGAAAATCCATTGATTTAAGGGTGCGCTTTACCTCAGCTCGGGCTTCAGTAGCTATTTTTTACCATTGGACAGCGCTGCAAAAAGCGCTTGCAGACGTTTCCAAGATTACTGTTTTAGAGTTAACAAATAATGATAGCTACGCAGTCTAAACGGCTTATAGTAATACAAAACCCAAACTATAGTTCTGCGTTTTTCAAATGTTCATAAGTTAAGGCTAGTTGAAAAGAACCTTTTTTCTTGTACTACAACTCAAGTTTATAAGGTGTGTATTTAAAATAATTGAAATATAGAAACAAAGAACTATAGAAAATTTCATCCTCTTTAATATGAGACCTTAATTTTGATTCTACCTTCAATGTAGCAGGTGAAAACAGAAATCTTGCAAACCCTTGCATTCGGTTGCGCGTCAGGGGTAAAGCGCGTCCTTAATCGGTTGTAGCTTATTGTTGAATTCTTGTTAAAAGTTTAACACATCGATAGTAAAATAAACACTAACACAATCGTGAGAGACGAAATGATTGAAACACTTACTGAACAGCTGTTTTTTGCATTAGCAAAATTGAAAACGAATTGAACGTCGTTTTCATAGGCTACATTACACAAAAAGTACTTTTGTTATATATTTTAGTTTGTTAAAACATGTTGCATTATAATTTAAAAAAATAGTTCATCTCACAGGCCAAAGTATATTTTCAACCCTCACTCGTTTTCCGACCCAGGCGAACTCGGGTCGAAAAGAGTCACTTTACGCGCCCTAGTGATGAAATATACTATTTCCATGAAGCTATAACGGTAAAAGTAAAAGTATAAGTAAGGTAAAAGTATAACGGTACGTCCAGAGTGCACGCAGATTCAGATTTTCGGCACGTCGTTAATCTGAGTCAGATATTTTGTTGGTGGTCACAGTGGAAGCAGAAAATACACCGCCGGTACTGACTTGGTTAGCAAAGAAGCAAGTCAGTCGTTGTTATGGAATTGTCGGATGAGGAATTAACGTGTAAAATTATAACGTCCGAAACTGTTGTGAAGTTACAGCCAGTGAAAAATGGTTTTCATGATATTATGTATGTATATCTTTTCCCATAGCTAGATATTATAGAGCTTCTTTCTATATTGCATTGATAGGAGTCCGAATCCATCGTATGGACATGGTATTGTAAGAAACTTTTGATACCTACACACAAAACAATTTTCCTGAAGAGCGTTTAGTGGTAGTAACTCCAAAAGTAAAGATGAAAAAATTAAATATTTTACTATAAAAACAAGATTTATTTAATCAAACAGTATGCGTTCGAGCAAAATCTGAATCGGAATCTGAAACCAGAATGAAGAATTTATTCTGGTAAGCAGGTGCTTGCGCACGGGCTCGGAAACCGGCAGCCACTACGGCCACTTCCATTAGAATGCAAGTGCTATTCCTGCCACCGAAAATCTGAATCGGAATCTGAATCGGCGTGCACTATGGACCATGACAGTAAAAGTAGATGCTGTATAAAAGTAGCAAAATTATGTATCTTAATTAATTAAGTTTCCTATAGTTTAATTGGCTCCACGCTATCATCAGTTCTGCTAAACTACCCTTTGAATTTTTTTTCTTTCATATAATATTACAAAAAAAGTAAATAATCTAGGTTTAATACAAAACTTAATTTGGTTTTTTGATTCACAGGTGTACTATTTTGTGAAGACCATGACAGAATGGAAGAACAACCATGCAGATGTAAGAGTGAGTCTGCTGTGTATGGAAGGAGATGTTGAAGATGGCACTTTTGTTGGCCTCTTGTACTCTGTAAGTAAAACGTATATTTGGAGGACTAAAGTAATTTATTTGGTTAAATATATTGCATAAAAAAATTTATTTTGAACTGAATAAAAACATCTTCTTTTAATTGTTCATGATTGTATGACGTCATGGCAATTTAAGTTAATTATTCATTTAAGTGTCTTATGAAAAATAAGTGATAATTTTTTTACAGTGCTAAGAGTTGTAGTTTCCAAATAAAATCTTTATAATCCATTGAATCTTAAAATTTTGGAGATGACCCAGACCGCTTCTTTGAAATAGCGTAAAAAACTGGTTCACATTTTGGGTGGTTGGATGGTTTGCTGCAAGACATCCGGAACAGCATTTTTATCAGTTCATTGACAGGGTTATCTCTTTATGAACATAATATGTTGACAGTCTACTTAAAAACCTATCTCCCAAATTAAGAAAAAAACATATTTTCTTATTTTTAAACAATTGAAACTTATGTAACAAATTGTATATTACCGGTACTGTTCTAACATCTAAAACTCGTACAATTGGTAAATTTGTCAGTGTACTGTTTTATTAATTGTTAGAAAAACTATTTTAAAATGTAAAATAAAGAAAATAATATCCTATAAACACAGTGTTATTTTATGATAATGTTCAGGAGCTGGGAGGCTGCACAGTGTTGGCGTACACTCAGCAAGAGAGCTGCGAGAGACTGGGTAGAGCCTTGCGAGAGACACGTCGCATCAAGTGGTCGGAACCCCTCACCTTCGAGGCTGTGCTGCAGCGTCACGCCGCCACAGTACACCGCGCAGCACACGACCACGGACTGGAGACTAGCATCTACGCTCAGAGCGGCATCCTATACATGCCACATGACCAAGCCAGGAAACTGAGGCCGAAGTGAGTAAAAATGCTGGTTATAACCTAGGAAATGCTGATGGTTTCTTTGGATATCAGGATGAACATGAAGTAATATATATTTCTGTTTTTAATAAACTGTTCTCATTGTTCTGATTTCCAGATTCAAATATAGTTAACTTATAAATATGTGGTGCTTCAATTAGTATATCTTTTTATTGTATTTAATTGTAATATTTAAGGAACATTGCATTTTGCTCCAGTAAACTTGAAAATTGGCCAGTATATGGGACAGTATGCTGTATTAATAATTAGGTATGAGTAAGGATATCTACAGGTATGATCCTATTCTCATTATCCTGTATTGCAGATGCATATCGGACGAGGTGTACGTGGCGCCCTTACAGTCCAGCCACGTCCCCTACATACACTCTGTCTGGGCACACAACGACATCTACACTCTGCAAGAGCTGGAGAGCACTCTGCGGCTCAACGGTGGCTACGGGGTGTTTGACGCTGCAGACGACACGTTGCTGTGCTGGGCCATGCACACTCACTACGGAGGCGTAGGTGTGCTGCAGACCAGAGACGGCTGTGGAGGCAAGGGCTACGCTAGGCTGGTATCCGCCTGTCTCTCTCAGGCGCTGGGACTGATGGGCATCGCGCCTCACGTCTGTATCAAGGATACCAACACCAGGTCACTGTCATTGTTCCGCTCCATCGGGTATGAGCATGTGTCCTCCATCCAGTACATCACCACGCACGACCCCTCCTCCTCCTCATCCGAATCATCCTCATAAATCACCTCCTCACTAATCAGGGGTAAAAGTTTACAAGTCACGTTTGGTAAAATATAGTTTGACTAACATGCTAATTAAAAACTTAGTAATATTTAAAAACAAGTAAGAAAAATCACACGTGACTTGTACATGTCTTTCATATCGTTAGCAGTATTATCATAAAACCGTAACATTTCCACTCATCTCTTATTTATCTCATTTCACTACAATATCAAATGGACTTTGTTCATGAACTTTCACATCTGTGATTACTATGCGACCTCTAGCTTTGATCCATTTTTATCACGGCCATTCACTAATTATCCATACTAATATTAGAACATCTTTACATAATCAGTTTTTTCTAGTCGGTAGTCTTAAGTACGCTTATTTGATTTAAATTATCTTAGTTCTATTATAAACGATAGAATACTTATCTAATTAACGGTTTCCATTCACTACATTATGGTGGAGTGATATTAACATGGAATGAATAAACTCAGTTTTAAAATTGACCTTCCTATAGGGAGAGTTGCAAGAGAATATTCTTCAATGTTACATAACTGTACATACAAATACACATATATAACTTGGAACAACCTTTTTATGGCAACAATTATTACAATTTTCAAGCATAAAAACATGCGTATGTAAATAATGTAAATTGTTGAAAACGTTTTTTCATATGATAAACATTTGCATATTGAATTATTTATTCGTACTGAAATAGATTATAGATCCAAAGGATCACATGTCTACACTTATGCTTTTGAATTTGTTTTGATTATAAAATCTATAAAATGAATTGTTACAATAGTTTGTAAATATAACTACTAGAAATAAAATGTAAGGACCAATGTTATAACAAATGAACCTCACGGTTCTACAATTGTAGGACTTACATAAATGTTGTATCGTTTTATCAAAGTGCTCTGAAGTATAAAGGCTTAGGAAATTTAATAAGGCTACATGGAACTGAACGTTCCAGAAAATTTTCTATATTTGTGTAAGTCTTACAAATAGTTAAGAATTATCTTGTATATATTAATCCTTTTAGTCTCAGACATTTTTTTGTACACTTTGGAAGCTGTATTTTACATTTTTTTTATGTTAAACAAAAATAATATGTGTTTATAAAATTTATATTTTGTACTTAGCTGGCTGAAGGCTGTTCTAAGTGCAAATTCAGCTTGATATACACTTAGCTGTATCTGTAGTATGCTATGAACGCAAAATTGAGAATACATAGTAGAATCGTCTTTAAGTATTACTCTAATCCATTATATGATCGGCAAGCCAATCATTTATGGAATAGTCTAAATCAACATAAAATCCTGAATATATTTCTAAATTAATTATTGATTTAATTATTGGTATGTTTTAAAAATATTTCATCGCCAATAAACTTTTCCCTCTATACCTGGACTGTAAAGGTGGGTTTGAATGTAACTAATACCTTGCTAATACATTGGTACAAATTTATTTAAAATTTAATTCTTTAAACAGTTTTCACATGTTTAAAATTATTTCTAAACAAACATATTTTTACTAGTGTAAAATTATAATATAGACACATATTGTTTTTGGAAAACTTAATTTCAGTAAAAAATAGGGCCATTATGGCCCTCAGTTGTACTAATGTAAATACGGATATTTATTGACCGACCAGTATGGTTCAAAAATATAGAATTAATGTAAAAAAAAAAACAACACATTGTACAAAAATTACTATTGGTCCTTGTGGATATTAGACCGCTACGGTCTAAACTTTTTGTAACAAATATATATTCTATGAGACCTTTAGGGTCCTATTAGATATGTGTTAGGTATATTTGTATGGTATCAAAATGGTGCCTCAAAGGCCCTTGCCAAAGCCTGAATGCAATACTCTGTCTTGGGGCCTGCAGGGCCCTAATATATCTTGTACATTATGTTTACAATATAAGGAGCACAAACAAACAATTCTCTTGTTTTTATTTTCTAGCAACCCTTATCTTCTATAATACTTTGTAGATGCATTCAAATAACAATGTGCAGGTTATTTATAGCTATCAATCAATTTTATTCATCTTTGAATTACTTCTTAAGTATTAATTTGTTTCCTTTTATTTTACCAAAAATACAGAATTGCTAAAACTAACATATTTACTTGACTTTACAATACAATTTGTTATTATTTTGTTCAAGAATTTTATAAGAAAATTCTTCTACAGTATTAATTCTCAGTATAATGCAACATGATTTAGATTTTATAAGGGGACATTGTGCATGTTTTACAAACATACTGTGTACAAATCGCAACATTTGTATAGGTTTCAAAACATGTTTCCGAGGAAAACAAAAAACAGTGTACTTTAGATTGTTCTTTTCTTGTTCTCGAACAAAAATATTTTAAAACCTTAATTTTTTGGTGTGATATCCTGTGATCCAGATATTTATTTACCAATAAGTGCACACTCGTTCAGCTATGAACCTTGAATATAAATATGAAAAAGGATTTGTTTACTAGCTTAGTAAGCGTAGATAAATTTAATATACACAATATTTTGGTGTATCTGAAATATGTTTAATCCTTGTCACTTTCAAAGTGTTTGCATGAAGATAGAAGTCAGAATACAATTTTAATCCTGTTCTAAATACTCCATTTAACTACTTCAGATAAGTAAAAATACCAGCGAGCATAGGTACTTAAATCTGCAATAGTACATCAAATGAATTAATATTCAATCTAGATATTAGATACTATTTGAAGTATCTATAGACAATGGTTGTACATTTGAGAAAACACAATTGACTATGCTATTGATAATTTTTTAATGGCCTATACTAAAACCTGAAACAAACAATTTTCGTTTATATTAACACAATGCAATACAAATTTATAAAGTAATGAACTCAGTTTGAAAAAGTACCAGTAGGCCTACTGCTTATTGCTTACAATTCTTCTTTTTAAGGTTTTCTTTTTGAATCAACTATTCTGACTAATATATTCTGTTAAAAAATACATATTCTTTATTTAGAAGTGCTTGTACCTTTAAAGATTTATTTTTGGAGTATAACAAATATCATTATTCACATATAGGATTAACCTTTTTTTCATAGACTGATTTAGGGTGAAGATGTTGATTTCAAGGTTGCTACTAGAATGTCAGGTTGGTCATCAAGTTAGTATTCTGGTATGTATGAATGTGAATGGTCCATATTTTAAGATTATATAGATAGTTTATCATATATCTTTTAGTATTCTTGTATTTATGGGAAAAGAATCAAATATAAATTAATAAGAATAAACATTGCAGATGCAATGGTGACAAAATGTTTGCTGCAGAGACAAACTAATCTGAAATTAAAGTAACAATTGCATGATATTAAAAATCAAAACGTAAACAGACCATATAGAGATATAATTGTAATGTCAAGCTGCTTTTGGAACTTTAGAAAAACAAATTGTTAGTTGAAAATGATAGTTCAAAAAAACCGAGAGTTTTTTCCAGCATTTAATTTGGGCCTTTATTGCTATGACACAAAAAGGTAATTGTAAAATCGTACTTAGTTCATAACTTGTGACATTTTGTTTCTGATTAGTTATGTAAACACAATTTTGAATACATAAGTAAATCCTGGCAATTCTGAATTCATTCAGCAACCCTCACTGTACTATTTACAAATCAAGCAGGGTTAGGGACAAGTACCGAACTATCCGTACTATACTTATCCTACTATGCATAGTATTAATTATAATTTCTTAATTTTTATGTATGTCTTTCAATTTTTTTCAAGCAATAGGACTGATCCAGGATAGAGCGAGATAGGTGAACCCTGTTGAACATAATGTCATGCTGAAGAAGACTTCTACAACTACATCAACTGTTTTTAGAGTTACTACAGAAATAATTATTTTAGAAAAGTAAAAACAATGGATGAAAAACCGCACATTTTTGGTGAGTAAGTTTTTTTTTTTATATTTTAATGTATAGTTTTGTAAAACTAAATTTAATCAAACTATCTTTAACAGTTAATTAAACAAATACTTTTTTATTGTTTTATTTGAAAAGATCAATATGTCAACATAGAATTTAAATCCATGTGTGTAGCCCCTGAGCTGTTGGACATAGGTCTGAAAATGTTTAATAAATATATATAAAAATGTTGTACACTTAAAATATTGATATGAGTTAATTGTCCTAAATTAAGAAGCATACAACTTTATTTAAAATAGTGTGTTGGACAATTAAAAACAATTAATTAATTGGTAGGTAAACTCGGACAATTTCTGATCCTCATAAATTTGTTTTGAAAATTGGAAATATAGTCTAAAGTAGGGACTTTGGCTAGTTCTAGAGAGTACCATTGACTATATAGTATATAAGGGATATATAGTCAATGGTAGTATATATCGAACACTTAATTACTAAAGTAGCAATTTTGGTCAAGGCAGATTTGCATAAACCTCTTCCTCTTAACAATAATAATAAAAACTTACCTCAAATCCCCAACTTTATTTTTTCCCTCACATGACAGAGCTGGGGCTTAGAGGACAACTGATACCTCTTAAAACCCATTTAAGATGTTTTCTAAGAGGCTACACCATGGCTAGTGTGACATTCTTTCAGGACAGACTATATTAATGTACTACTAGTAGTCGCTTTTTGTGTGTGCATCCTAAAATTGGGTCTGACGACACATTCCAACCCAAAAGCGACACCAGCAGCTGACAAAACCCTGAACAACGACGGGGCATGGTAGCGTAAGGAACTTGTAGGAATTTGCAAGATACCAAAAGAATCACCTACTTATCTTTTTAGAGTATTCAATTCACACATTAAGGACGAACGTAACTTTTGGTGTGGATTTTATCAACCTCAAGTGTGTAAGTTACATGATAGAACATGTTAGGAAAATTAATTATTGTATATTTTGCAGTAACTGAATTATCTAATTACCTATTGAAAAAAAAAATACTTTCGAAGTATACATAGCAAATCTCTTAGTTAGGATGAAATCCTTGATTTGAATACGGTCAATAAGTGATAGCAAGCCCTTTAAATTCTAAACATCAGGAATGATTTGAGCAGTATAGGTGGATATGAGCCCTGTTGCCGTGGCCTAGGTCCATCGGTAATTTTTACACATCCGAGTTAGTATTATTTATACAACTAATATTATTAGCGAATTTCCCTATAGGGAAGTAGCTATTTTTATATTGTATCTAACCCTAGAATAAGATAAGATATTTAGTAGCAACATGGTCAACAACTATAAAATGTAATAATATGTAATGTTACAGGGACTGAAGCTTAACAAATTGCAGACTAAGGATGAACAAATGTCATGATAGTTTCGGACTGACACTTCTAGTATTAAAATTCCAGATTCAATTGATTTATAAAAAAAATAAACTTTGAAAGCTTTAAATACTGTGCATTATATTCCATTATGGTTGCATCCACTGTCCTATCAGGCTTCAGCACTGTCAGGTGCGAGAAGAAAGGAAGCTGGAGATTCCAGGTAACTAGTTTCTAGTATTACTAATTAATGTTATCTTATATTCTATGACAATAACTAAAATAAAATATATCTTTACTTAATTGTATTAAAAGATGTAAGTGATATGAGATTAAAGCAATATTATCTAGTATTATTATTTTACTTATCCTACAAATAATCCTATAAAAACCATTTTCATATACATTTACATTAAAAATTAAAATCTCGCATCATTAACATGAGTAATAACTTTTTATTGATAACAAATTAAATAGTACAATACTAGAGACTATACATTATGTAAACATTAACAACTGGAAACTAAAAAGTAATCCACAGTAAACACAACAGTTTGAAAATTTTTATGAGTTATGTGTTTACTGAATAGGATCAAATGTATCTAGTGTCTTTACACTAACACATAACAAATCCAAAATAAAACTCAAATAGTACATCTGTTTATGAGAACGCTTTGTTTTAAGACTAATGAAGATGTTGAAAACGAAAATCAGAAGGAAACATAAAAAACAGAGTATCCCCAAAAGAATTGCCCATTTTCTGACAGATCTGAAAAAAAAACCATTGAGTGTTTAGTTGTTAACAGTTGTATTCAGACAAATATCACCCAAATTTATAACTGAACGATGCCATGGACTTTTTATTTATTTATATTTATTTTTGTTGTTGTAACTATCCAATATGGCATTATCATTAGCAATTGAAATAGGGACGCCACCTAGGTGCGCATTTTAACCCAAATTTGAGTGAAGGATGAGTGTAGAATGGAGTGAGATGTTATGTGTAGCTTTGTTACTGACTAAGATCAGCTGTTTCATCAGTCAGGATAATTTTTTATTCAAAGCCCAATAGTCAAGGATGGTTGGGTCTGTTTTTAGCCATCAAAAAGCTACTGACTTTTTTCAGGATCAATCCAGCGACTTTTTGATTGTAAGGTGAACACTATAACCCAGCCCTGAAGAAGAAATGAGTGTTGAAGAAATGTTTTGAACTGCCTGTGTAGAACACACTTTACACAAATCTAAATAATCACCTGTACAAGAACTCAAAACAACTGCAATTAATTAAACTATTTAATAAATTAGCAAGAATTTTCAATATATTAAGTAATCATTTAATTTTGATCCAAAAGGTAATTTAATAATCAGATCAAGAATACTTTCTGAAATAATAAAACTTTTGAAAATGTGATATAAATGTTTTTGTTCAAAAACAAGATATTGACATTATACATAAGTAAAATATTTCTGCTTTGTCAGTAGAACATGAATACTGTACTTATTAACAGTAACACAGTTTGGGCACTGCAGGAAACAAATTCTTATCTTTGATGCACAATTTATGGAAAATCGTTTTTGTTGGTTGTTACAGTATAAGGAATTTGTTCTACAACTTCTGTTTGAATACAAAGGTAATACACATGAATAGCAATTTAATGTATGTATATAAACTCAATTATTAAATGGAAACTGTTGGTTTGCTTACCTCCTAGCTTTGAAAATATGAAATTTGCTGCTGTTTAGGCTCAGCTTTGGTATTTTGGGACTTTCCTGAAAAAATTTGAAAATTGAAGCGAGGTACTTATACGTACAAATTAATGCCCTGTCATAGAAGCTGGTGTGTTCCTTAATTGTTTAAGTCAATTTAAAATGAGACAGGGGTTTTAAATACAATTAGTAACAATTATTGGAAAGTAGAAACTTCAAATATCACATAAAAAGATGCTATTTGCGACTAAGGACCCTAAACATGAGTAAAACGTGTAGATGAACAGAACCTCCTTAGTTGGAATCCTCAACATTGAACATAAATACTATTGTGGAAAACTATTTGTTGAAAAAAATTATAGTGGTTACAATTGCTATGTAGGCTAAAAACTAATAATTTAAATTGAAATCCTGAAAAATTAGTCCATATCAACTGCAAAGAAATCCAAGCAAAAAAACCGTTTAAGGTTTTTCACTTAATCATGCAAAAAAACTATGCTGTTCCATAACAAGCAGTATAGGTCTTAGCAATCAATAGAAGGGAATGCCTTAACATTTCATAAACATATTAGCAGCTTTATATATGTAAATTTAATGTAAAGATCGACAAGAAAAATTACACAATTAATTATCAATTATTTAAGATGGGGATGCCATTATGTGCGTATTTTAACCCAAATTTAAGTGAAGGATGAGTGTTTCGATCTTGTAGTCTAGTTAGTGACTAAGGCCGACATATTCCTTAGACACAGCTGTAATAGCCCATACACCTAGCTCACAGAAGAACCTCAATAACAACAATCTGAAGGGGGTGTACACAACTCTCTAAACATTTAGTAGGTATTATTGTAATTAATTAAAGGTAATGTTATCAATGAGGTTTTAATAGTAAATAACGCCAAAGGCAGGGAAGTAGGTGTTAACAGTATGAGTATGATAGTTCCAGCAGGAAGCTGACCGAGCACAACATTTCATGCAAGTACTGTTAACACCTTCGCAGGTGAGTCTTGTAAGATACTTTTTGCATACTAACAGAGTGAGTTTAAACACAAGTAGCGAAGTAGCACAACCCATATATCTGCAGTACTATCCTCATAATTAGACCAATTTGTACATACCGAGGTAAAAATGTGGTTCGGATTCCACTATTAACTGTGGGTCCCTTACTTGCCATTAGCTGTATTGTAATTGTTTTTTTCTTTAAAACAGTACCCTTTGTTGTGCAATTCTTTTTTACCCATCAACTTTTAATATGTAAGTTTTTTCAACTAAGTAAAGCGTAACATTTGAAAATTAAATAGTATGTTACATTATTTTTATACATGCCTCATATAATTGTTAGGTGCCAAATTTTAAGGGGGGTTAAAACGTACTACGAATAAATGAACATCAGAACTTACCCGATTTTTAACCACAATAGCCTACTCCGAGGCCTATGTGTTGGCCATAGCTTGGGCTATGGGCCAAAGAACGTAGGCCTATTTTTATTCACAGTGAAGTACACAAACACATCCATAACTACATATTTATTCATAATAGCACTTCGTTTCACATAATAAAGTTAAACCGACCGATTTTACAGATATTTAACGCCGCCGACGACATAACCCCAAACTGGTGTTTATTTGTTGACAGACGACAGACGAAACTAGACCAGCTCAACAAGTGAATTCGATCAGCTGTTATCTAGTAGTACTAAAGTTCGCCGCTTGAGCGCGTAAGCCTCGAGCGGGCAGGAACGAAGGATTTTACTCCAAGACAGGATGATTCGTTCACACGCCGTCTACGAAGTAACATCGTCGTTACAAGACTACGCATTCGCTATTTGACCACCGACTAGCTCACACACGACTTACGAATACGACCCTACGATTAGATTACGAAGGTTAGCTACCACACCAGTTAGGCTCCTTTTTACGTTTTACGTTATTTTTGTTTTATCTTTATTATACGCATACTTGACTTATTTTACTTTTTCGTTTTCTTAAATTACCGATTCGAATTATCTAAATTTAATATCGTAACTTGAGTCTTGACCCGCCAGTTCCTGCCTGCCAGTGACTAGCGGTGGTGATCGTTTATTTTATTTTAATTAATTAGTTTCGAAATTACGATTTCTCCGTTCGCTTAACGAATAATTGTTACTTCTATTATTTTAATCGATTCGACGTTTTAAAACCCCGAGACTTGTCGTCTAAGTTCTAAACCCCGTCTTTGGCGGGTGAAAGAATCAAGTCTTGGGAGCAGGCTGATTTGAACAATCAGCTACGTAAATTAAATATTAAATTTATTTTAAACCACTCACGTTAAATTGCCGTCCAATTATATTCATTAGGCCCCGACGACTCTGTAGGAATTGTTTTACCTTTTTTTCGATATTATATCAATTATCAACATCTTTAACTAATTAGCTGCAGTTTAATACGAGTATTTACATCACATTGGCTAAGACTGAATACTCGTCGGCCCTACAGAGTCATTCCAAAGGTTAGGCAAACTTTAACAAAACACTTTAACGAAGGTAAGGATGATATATAGCTCCAACTGAGCGTCTGCAGGATTTCCTGAACGTTTCCTGAGCTCTGAGCCTTCGATTAAATTTTAAATAAATTGATCAGTCAAAGCCGTGACAACTTCGTATCGACCCCTGGATTTTTCTCGGCTCCTTCTGAGCACTCCGGGGAAGAAATTTGAGTGTGGCCGGTTCTAGGGGTGGCCTGACTTGGTGAATACTAGTTTATTCCCCCCCCTAGAATTTTGCGTCACATAATTTTCACTAAGAAGCCTTTATAAGTTAGCCTAGCTTGAAAGAAAGGTATATTTTTTTTAACTAAGAGGTCCAACAAATTTTTTTCCTGAAATCAAAGGTGGATGTGTATGCTAACTATTTTATACAACAGATTTAAACATCAATATTTTCTCTTCAGAGTCCTCTCCATTGCAAAGGACGGGTACTGCAGCTAGTTAGTCATAAAACATTCCATAGATTTAGCATCAAATTCAGTAGTTAAGCAAATAAAATAATACTGTACCATGCTATTGATTTATAAAAATAAAAATGGTGATAGTTATTAAAGCTAGGGGTGGATTGGAATGTGTCAGTAACAAGAAAACATACATGATGCTATAGAATGGATAATATTGATAATCTCTCAAATCTGATTGATTTCAATTCATGTAACATGTAACACAATAAACATATTATTTCATTTGACATAACCTCAAGAAATGAGCAGAGGATGAAGTCTTGTACAGAAATTTTTTTATTAAATCCCTTTTTATCAACAAAATTATTGTTAACTTAGAATAGACAGGAGTTTAGCTCTCTCAATTATTAACACCAGTAAAAATCATAAAATAAAAAAAAATAAATATCCATTTATTTTTTTAATATTTATAACAATAAAAAGTAAAAACTCCAATAACTAAAATATGATTATTTGTTTCCTTTTCTTTGACAAATTCTAATTTTGGAAATGATTTTCTTCTTCATACTGAGAACCTTCAAACAAATATTAAGATATTGGTATAGGGTTTAAATAATAATTTGTATGGTATTTATTTAGAATTTATCATTTATTTATTTTCTAAATATATAAAAGGCAAAGCCCTCACTGACTGACTCACTCACTCACTCATCACTAATTCTCCCACTTCCCATTTACCTAGGAGGCTGAAATTCGGTACACCGATTCTTTGGGCATTAAATAGGAAAACTAAGTAGTTTTTATTCTGATCGGGCTTTCGGGCTCCGCCCCAGTGGCTCTGGAGTTTCCCATGTTAACCTTATGATTTTTCAAATTTAAAGGAATTTCCACGAAACTTGGTACATACGTGTAGAAATTCATGGAATAGGTTTATACACCATCAATTTCGTGATCCGTCCAATCGGCTCCGCCCCAGTGGCTCTGGAGTTTCCCATGTTAACCTTATGAAAAATGGAATTAATGAATCTTAACAGCTGTTTCAATTAAACAAGTTGGTTCTGTTCTATGATGTTCAATAGCATTAAAGTTACAAGGATTACAAACAGGGTGCAGCACTATTATTTTTTTAAATTTATGACTACAGCCAATTTGCAACCAAAAGGTGAGTGAGCGTAGCGAACGAACTTCAACCTGGAAGCTGTTATATTAATATGTGAAGTTTTAATTAAGCCCCACTTGCTACAATAATAACCATAAGGACACACAACATGGCGCAGTCAAATTTAAAGCAAGTGGGTGAAGATAATGTGAAATTTAAAGTAATAATTCAGTAACTGGATGTGAAAGGTAAGGTAGGCTTGGTGTGCGATTGCAGTAAGGAAAATGGCGATGTCCGGGCTCTTCAAGCCACCAGACTGTTTATTAATTTCAGATAATGTTGCTCAGGACTGGGTTCTATTTAAGGAGCAGTTTAAGCTATTTTTAATAGCCACCGAATCAGACTCTAAATCTGAGGAAGTGAAAATTGCACAATTGCTGAACGTAATTGGAAGAGAAGCCTTAAGCATATATCATACATTTAAGTTGGGTGATTTAAAAAGTTTAAAACTTGAGGATGTGATTAGGGAGTTTGACAAACATTTTTCCCCGACTCGTAATATAACCTATCAAAGATTTCTTTTCTTCAAAAGAGTTCAAAAAGAAGGTGAACCTTTCATTAACTTCTTAACTGATGTGAAAAAACTTGCATCGTATTGTAATTTTGAAGGCCAAGAAGATAGTCTCATTAGAGATAAACTAGTACTATGTATATCAGATGAAGGATTGCAAGAAAGACTTTTGCGGGTCCCTGATCTTAAACTCTCAGATGCTATCAAACATTGCCAGTTGGCCGAGCAAAGTAAAGAACAATTTCAAGTTGTTAGTAAAGATAAAATTAATTCCATGCCGATGTCAAGTGACTTAAATTCCCTCACGCCAGTGGTTAAGAGTGAAGTGAAAGAAGAAATGGTGCATGCTGTTGAACACTATCGAGGTAAACAAGGTAGGCCTAGTAAAAACCCTACTTTCAACCGTACGTATTTGTGCAGGAAGTGTAATACTAATCATGCTAGGGCTGCTTGTCCCGCACACAAC